CTTGTATGCCATGAAATACTGCATTAGTATACTAGAAGTACAGTTAATTATTACAAATTTGTTAAATTTTTTGTAAAATAGTATTGACACTGGTGACTGATGTTTTTTTTTGTAGTTGAATTAACCATAATGATTGTGCTATTTTGTGTTTGTCACAATACATTGAATTAATTTGGTTAAATAATAACCTCCTAATTAGTTGTATACATAAAAATTATACTAGATGTGTATAAGAGACAGCTAGTCTACACCACTATATGATTTTTTAAAAAATTGAAAAATTTTTTTGACCTCTGAAATCAAGATTGAAAAAGAAAAGCGGTTTTTTTAAGACACAAAAAAAGTTTTTAAGAGATACAGGCTTTGGAATATTTTAATATAAGGAGGCGTAACCACCCTATTTTCTACCTTTCCACCAGTACAGGTACACTTTGCTTCAAGTTACATAATAATCTCATAATGATTTTTTAATAATGTCCTAATTTCATAGGCCAAATATTGACATTTGGCTTTAAAGTTAAATAATGGTATCCTAATGAAATTTTAATAATCTTCTAATTAGCTGTATACACATAAAAAATTTAAAAAAAATGTTTTTTAGTGATTGTAATTTAATCTGCCAAGTACAGGTACTTAATGCTACAAACAACCCAATGCAATAATATTGTAATTATGTGTATACAATTTAATTATTTAATAGTGCAGCAAGAATGCCTTTTTAGTTGTATATACATAAAAAAATGTTGTTTAGTGATTGTAATTTAATCAGCCAAATAATGTAAATGCACTTGGCTTTAAAGTTAAAAAATAATATAATGATTTTTTTAATAATGTCCTGATTAGCTGTATATACACAAAAAATGTTTTTAGTGATTGTAATTTCATCAGCCAATAGGCACTTGGCTTTAAAGTTAAATTATGATATCCCAATGAAATTTTAACAATCTCCTAATTACTGTAGCTGTATATACATAAAAAAATGTTTTTTTAGTGATTGTAATTTAATCAGCCAAGTATAGGTACACTTGGCTTCAAGTTAAGTAATAATCTCATAATGAATTTTTAATAATGTCCTAATTATCTGTATACATAAAAAAATGTTTTTTAGTGATTGTAATTTAATCAGCAAAATACTGTATAGGCACTTGGCTTTAAAGTTAAATAATAATATCACAATAAGAAAGTATAATACATACTCCAAGTATTGAAATACACGCCATCGTGTTGGGATTCAATATTTCGACATTAATTATGTCATCATAAGGAATGAAAAAAATATCCATATTAGCAAGCTTATATGCACTAGTACCAAAAGTGTTTAACCAATCAAAACATTACCTCTAGTAGGTGACATAGCAGTGATTTAAACAAAAGATCAAAGCATTCTTACTCTAATGATCAAAGATACCAACAAAAACAAAGAAAGCTCTTTTGAAGCTCTGAGCCCATTGTTAAGCAGGGTGTAGTCTGCGTATAGCGAACGTTTCTTTAAACAATAGGATAGACCAGTTTCGGGAGCTGTCAATAATGTTAGTACTAGAAAATATTAAACCTAATTTATTACTTACATTACAGACGACATTATCATTTTTTCAAGTATACCCTGTAATCCTAAAACATATTGGAATGCCTCACAGTTTTTAACATGATCAAATATAACACTATCAGATCGTGAAGAATGTTCTTTAAGTCTAGTCATTAGACAACAGAACTTCTGTTCTGTCTATCATTTTAAATGTCCAGGCTGCAATAGTGATTATATTGGTAAGACAGTAAATATTTAAACAAATATAAATGCAATTATTAGGCCTATGTATTCATTATGGAATGTGTGATTTACAATCTGATCTAGAAAAGATAAATTCGGTGCAAATACTGACTTTGTTTATATTTATTTATTTATTTTTATTTATTTATTTATTTATAGGCCTATTACTTTATATATTTAGCAGGCAATTACAATTTTCGTACAAAATAAATCAGCAAAAATGAAGTTTTGATCTGTGTCTTTTTTTTTTTTTTAATAAATTAACAATCTAAACCTCCTCATAAGCAATTCAGTGTTTTTAATTAAATGTTAAGGCCCTAACATACATTTATATTATAGCTCCATGATATTAGAATAATAATGTGATTCCTTTAACCTACTTTATAGGGCTATGTCCTATAAATATTTTTCTTACCATGATCAGGATATTTTATAAATATAATAGTAGATCTATATTAAAATTTCAAAATATTTGTTTACTTTGTACTATTTCTAATATTTATCATAATTTTCAATAAAAGAAAAAATGATACAAAAATAACGATAACGATAAAATGATTGATATAATATCAATAATAACTCCCCAGAATATAGGAAGACTGAGGAAATTTAATTCTGGACGCAGGGCTGGCAGGGCTCCCGGAAGCGATTTTTTTCCCGTACGAAACATTTGCATGAAACTTCACTCGGGCCATCTCGGATTGACTCGACTCGAGTTTGATACGAGGAACAAGAGCAGACACTTAGCAATGTCGTAACGCTCGAATTTTACTTTTATTGCTCTTTCTATGTTTACCTACGGTAGGCCTATGAAATCTTACGGATATAGGAAGTACGTGTGTAACTAACTGTGACCTTCTTGTATGTTATTAAATGTTAGTATAATATCTACAACAACAACAGCTAGTATCCCCCTTTATAAAATGTAGATGGGTACACCAAAGGCTGACAGAACGAATTCAGATAAAGACCTAAAGCAGGCTGAGTTAAGTCCTACCTACCATAGGCCCTCCCTAAACTAGGCCTAGGTCCCTAGGCTAGGGTCCTAGGCTGACACCAACAGTCACGCTTCACATGACGTTGATTGAAATTTTGAAAAAAGGGAGAAAATCGAAGCATGAAATAAAAAATAAAGTGCAAAGAGAAATATTTTTAAATAATAATAAATACCGTAAATTATACTATTCCGGTGTTATTGAACTTGGCCAAACTATCCTTGTAATGTAATTAATGTTAAATAATAATAATAATAATCATCATCATCATCATTTCAGCATTATTACCTTGGCCTAAGCCTTGTAATCAAGAACCTATTTACTAGGCCTATAACTAGCCTAAGGGAATATCTTTGTGCTATTTCCCCTTAACGTCGTTTTTTTTTTTGTTCTCTAACTTCTCCATTGTCTTAAGTTCCTAAGGTAGGTTTTAGTAACAAATAATTAATAATAATAATAAATAATAATCAATTCGGCATTAATTAACTTGGTCTAGCCTTGTAATACCTGCAGATACTATAGAATTTACCATATAACTATAGGTTAGGCCTCATTTATACATTCATTGGTGCTCTGCCATTTTTGGCAGGTCTCTGGCATCCAGTATGTTAGAGCTGCCTATTCTCAGCTCTTCTCTTAATTTGAAAATAACTGTCACCCTGTTTCATTTGATAAAGAAATGCGCTATTCCTTCCTCTTTGTGCTTTCCCCTGAAAGCGTATATTTTTAGTAGTTAGTAGGCCTAGGTAAATATGCAAAACCCAGATCTAACTAAAAAAAAAAAAAAATTGTCACAGTATGTAAAAAAAAAAAAAAAAAAAAAAAAAAAATGTCACAGTACAGTATACACAAGTTCAAATAACACTTTCCATTACTCGTGCAGCTCAATCAAATATTATATGTCATTTTAAACGACCCATTATTATTAGCATGGTAACATCAATGTATTTTTTAAAAATCTGACAGCGCGTTCTCTCAGAAGTTGTTTTGCATTTTGTAGTCGTTTATCTGTTGATGACCCTTTGACCTCCTGAATTCTGCAATATGAGATTTTCGGCACGAGTCGATTCATTCATAGAGAAAATAGAACATTATTTTCTCTATGATTCATTCGAGACGGCCCGAGTGGAGTTTCATGTAAATGTTTCGTACGGAAAAAAAAAAATCGCCTCCCGGAACGCCGCCCTCAGCGGCGAGTGCGAAGCACAACTCAGGGTCAAAAGTGGAACGTGAAATTTGGATATGGTTTTGTAGTCAGATTTGCGAGAAAAATTTCAGCTACCCGTATTTCTCGACTGAGACGTCAATGGGAGCTGTAATTTGTATGGCAAGGAGATTGTGCAACCCTTCATTCGTATTAAGGGAATTTACGCCCATAAACTTTGTAGTTATTAATATTTGGGTTATAATAGAAAATATTCATTTTTTGGTGACGTCACACTCATATTAGTTAGCATGCATACGTCATAAGCTAGATACGTCACCTTTTCCCGGTAAGGCAAACTTTCCCGGTGGCGTGCTTTTTTGATGGATAAACAAACAACATTGCTTTGCACATGGATTCTTTGCCCAAGCCAGGGCTACAAGAGCCGCATTGTTAGCATTGTATAATACTTAAAACAGGTACCTCTGCAAATGAATTATTCTTAGTTATTTTTGTTTTCTTATTTTAATTTATTTCTTCCGAAAGTGTACTCTCTATCACATAATTCCACTGTCTTAGTTAATAGGCCTAGTAGGCCTAGTCTTATGCCTCATCGTCCCCCGCTACACAGTACATCAGCAGGCCCTCCCCCATACAGTACAGACGTTTGCTAGGTAACAACGTGCCTTTAAAAAAATTACTTATTTTTACAAGAGTTTTACTTAGATATTGTTTCCTATATACTATAGGTAATATCAATTATCTTGATTTTTAGGAAAACTGACCTGTAATTTTTGTTTTTATACTATTAATATGTCATACAGTATAAATATTTTTTAAAGTTTGTATTCATTCCACAAAATTGCATGGGTATACCTGTCTCTTATACACATCTAGATGTGTATAAGAGACAGACTCTCCATAACACAGCACCCCTAGTTCCGTCACCTCTGGATTTTAAAATACCGTTTACGGGAACACAATTGCGGTAGAAGCAAAACAGTGTAAAGGCCTCTATGTGCGTACGTAGTTAGAATGATGGATCCCTTGCTATAATAATACTCGCTCGAGCTCCCAATCCTGAAGTTACGTCCAATGTTAGATGTAACGATTATCCAGATTGGCTGCTTCCCTTGAAGCCTACCCAACGTTCTTGGATATATATAGGCCTTAAATGTTCATAGTGAATCGTAATTGACAGTATAACGCTGCCTATCTTACATATATGACGACGAAAAAAACCATATTTGATCAAATCTGATTTTGGATATGTACAAAATTGTGGTTAAATCCACTGCGTTTTGTTGATTGACATTATCCCAATCAACCAATGGGATCGCTGGGTTTCTTACTTAGGGTCGAATGTTTATTAAAATCCACAGAGCCATGTTTATATGCAGAGTTGTTTTTGTGAGTAGAAACGGAAGGAGGACTCTGATATCTTTGCCTCTTCCAACTCTCATTTAAAGTTTTAAACATGACTAACAGCATAAGGAGTCGCAGTGATGTAAGTTGTTTTTGTTATACTTAAATGGGTACATATATTAGCCAACATAATGAAAGAGAGTGAAAAATTCTCATTCGCGCGAAAGCAGCGAACAGCTGATTTATCTACGCAATTCATTGTTTTTGTTCGCGAAGATGTTTTCGCTGTCGAGAGCCACCCTCAGCCTGGTCGATCGTTGAAAATTATAACCTCGATAATATGTCTCTTGAAGATCGGTGTGAATTGTTGGATCCATATTGATTTTATCTGAAAAACCCCCTTACATCTTTATTAAAATTGAATGGTGTGTCTATATGCAAGTCTGTGTTATAATTGAAAAGATTACTAGGCCTAGGCAAGCATGGCCTAACTAAACACTTAAAATAGTTGTACTACTAGCCCTAGACTGGATGAAATCGTAGAGAGTAGAAAAAGTAGTTAATTATGATTATTTAATGTAGCAGAGGATCAGGGATTAACTATGAGACCATATGAGACCAAAATTGACCTATATGACCTGCATCACAGACATAGAACTTGGACCTAGGCCTAGTGCAAGAATTTAGAAAGAATAAATAAAACATAACAATCAGCAGCCAAGTCTTGTATTGTTGTAATTGTATTCTACCACTAAATAATATAGTTATCAAGTTATTAATTTTGATTATATCTTCCACACAATAAAAATAGCATGTATGTTCCGAATCTTCTGATTCGATTGAGAGTCTCTCAAATTTTCATGCAATCTCTCATTCTTTTGATTTTTTTCAAAAATTTTCCCATATTTTCAAAAATTAACCCCAAAAGACCAAAACAGCTAATTAGTTGTTTTTTTGTTGCTAATAATTGAGTTTCTTAGTGCATAGTTGTTTCTGCACTGACTTTATCAACGAAGTTGGTGTACAAAGGCCTTCCGATAATCCAAGGGTGTACTGACACCTCAAAATGTCACTTTTAAAATGCTATAAAAAAAAAAACATGGACGAACTTGGATTGTCAACGTTTGACGGTGCCCTTCTCCAGCATACAGTAACTCTTTCAAATTTTGAGTTCCAGGGTTTGGAATATCTGCATATGTCTGATAGTTTGAATGTAGTTAGAAAGTATGGTGCATGCATATTTGGTAACAAAAAATTATTAGAGAATATTTTCCTTGTCCTTTAAAAAAATTACTTATTTTTACAAGAGTTTTACTTAGATATTGTTTCCTATATACTATAGGTAATATCAATTATCTTGATTTTTAGGAAAACTGACCTGTAATTTTTGTTTTTATACTATTAATATGTCATACAGTATAAATATTTTTTAAAGTTTGTATTCACTCCACAAAATTGCATGGGTATACAATCTGCTGTACCTGTAGTGCAATGAGGAATTTGTGGTTAAACTGGTGATGAACTTTGTCTTGAATCAGCTGTGTCCCAGCCAAGAACAAAGAAACAGTTTCACCTCAAGAATGTTTTTATCTACTTATATAGTACTCAGTGCCTGTGCACTTAAAGTTTTAGATTTTAAAGGTCATATGATTTGTACTTGCAAGTTAATACTAACTATATCATTTTTGGTCTTGATTGGAGTTCTCTTGTCTTCCATCTGTAGGCCTACCGTATTTCCTCCTTCCTTTATGTTCCCTCTAATTTCCTTGTGTCAGTTATACTGTAGGTATCTGATGCATTCCTTTTGTTAGTTTTGTTAATTTTTGTTCTCATTTGAGCTTAATTATAAAAAATATTATTTTGGAGACATTCTGTAATTTATACACATAGAAATGGAAATTTTGTAATTTTATGAGTATGTGACTCAAATTTTCCTTTGATGTCCCAGCTGTTGAGTTACATAGTCTTAAACAAACATGCTGTGATTTTTCCTTTTAACCTCTGCATAACATTCCATTTTTAACATTTAGTTAACCGTAATGTAAACATCTTTCCTCCTAATGCTATTTCTGTTCTATTTTTGTATAAGACAATAATATGGTCAATGCCAGCATAAATTCAATTTATCTATCAAATCACTAACTGTGTATATGGCTGAGGACAATAAGTATGATGATATAAAATATTGTTTTGTCTTGAACCAAGGCTATGCTGGACATAATTCTGTATAATTTCTTTCAGCACATTTCATTACCATTCAAATTCAACCTCAATACTTAATTATGTTAATTTTTATACAGTTTTGATGTCCTAGGCACACTGCTAATTTTTGCTCACTTGTGGATGTTTGTAATAATGTACTCATGATTGAAAACAACCTTTCCACTATTCTCCATTTTATTACTCACTTGCAAAACAGAGGAAGTGTAAGAATTTCAAGAGCATGATGGGCCTTCTATTCCGATTGCCATTGGCAAAATTCAAATTCTGCCAACTCCAGGATTTTTTACTTTAACAGCACAAAAACTACACTCCCTGTCTTCGACTTGTACATAATTCACACGACAGAAGATGTTACATAAGGTGCATACTTAATATTTATACTGAAATCACTGTCGTCTTCACACGACTGAAAGTTAAATCTTTCCTAGTATGTGTTTTGGTTCTGGCCAAACGCCCTTTTCAAATTATTGACAAATTATAAAGAAATCGTAATCTTGACTATAAATGTCCCCTTTGAATATAGCACCTCCGTTTATTGCATAAAAAAAACCCAGTTAAAATGATCATGAAATTCACTATTTAGGCCTACATGCTAGAATATTTCAGCTCCAAGGACTTTGCCTCATGAGCCCTCTTACCTGCACCCCACCAGGGCATATACCTGTATCTTCCCCCCAGGAGCTCTAGATGTCATAGGTATTCCTCTTAAGGAATCCTGGTTAAGGAGCTGCAGAGATTGACAACACACAGAAAATGATTAATAGTTATTTGAATACACTAAAAGAACATCTCACCTCATTCGGAGTCTTCCAAAGATAGTCTCCCACAATTACCATTGACAAAATGTCTGCGCTTTTGAACAGTTTTGTTTTTTAATAGGAAAACAGCTTTTTTATGAAGTCAAATTATCAGCAGCAATTTCATTCATCTTAGTTTAATGTGAATGCCAAAGAATAGTCATGTACTGTACTGTATTTAACATGATTAATTCATTGATAGGATGTATGCAGAGCTGTCAATACCTTTTAGAAAGTAATTTGAGCTAGGCTGTGCCTACAAGGAGAATATACTGTACAAAATTTGTTCACAATTATGCAAGATAAATTGAATCACATTCATAAAAATTATGTTCTCCTTTATGTATACAGGCAGTACAACTGCGGTCTGTTTTCTGTGCACCACAGCGTCTAAAACCAGACAGTTTAAATGGCAAAAACATGATAATTCTGGTTTACTGTACCACCTTTTCCGAGTACCGTGATGTGAAGCATGTGTGTATGTGTAAAATTATATTCGTAATGTTGGACTGTCAATAAGTTTATTCGTTTGGGACGTGAAATCAACTTTGAATTTATCATCGCATAAAGTGATCTTCTGACCAATCGGATACAGATTAACACTTGTATACGTGTCTACTTTGATATACAGTACTAGCTGGCTTACTAACTGTACAGCGATGCGGTATTTTGATGTGCTATTTTGTCTTCTCAAGTCTAAATGAAACCTTATTCATCATACAGTACATCATACTGTAGATAATGGTTCCAGATTACTCATCGTTTTAGATACGAAACACCCTGTTGTGACGCAGTTTGTCTCACTGTTGCTGCTATACTATAATTAACACTTTTTTTTTTAGATATGTTGTTTGAAATTATTAACAATTTTTAATCTGTACTATGTATACATCCATATCGTATAATTTCATAATACTGCCCTGGACATGCTATACATTATTATTGCAATATTAGTTTTTTAGGTAGTTGGTTTGATTAGCATGTTGTATGGTTTTTCAATGTTCTAAAAAAGATATAATTAAAGTGAAAATTATTGTTGTGTACATAAAGGAGAAAAAGAATTAGACTATTTTTGTGAATTCCAGCTCTCAGTTTCCTGGATTAATCAAAACAAGACTGATCTGCATACTAGAATTAGTTTGCCCTACACTTGCATAATTAACGTGGTGGTGTATTACACTTTTCATTGCCTTGATATTTTTGCTTATTATCTGGTGATTCGCTGCATTGAGTATGTAACGTTCATGTGTTTTTTTTTTCTTTATAGCTTTGGAGTTTATCAGCAGATGAATCTTTGGTGAACAGAAAGTTACCAAAAGAACTGACATTAAGGTAAGATGTCTTTTAATGATTGGTTGCCTTTTGGCCTCTTAATCCTGCTCTTAATTTATTCAACTATGTCTAGGGTTGTTGACACTTTATCTACACATTTTTCTCCCTGTACCAATTTGCATGAATGGGTCTAGCAGTGGCCTAATGCCTATGGGCTCTTGGAGGCCAAAATCCTTCGGCCCCTGTTCAATGCGACATGATGGGAGGTGAAATTGAGTTTGATTCTGTGCCTTATAATCACACAATTTGTTAAATTGTGCAATAAAATCTCTCAATTAGCTCTTGACAATGATGTCATTACTAACAATGTTTTTAATTTTAAAAACATTTAAAATTGTGTTTAAAAGTCTTCAAAAATAATATAAAATGTTACATCAGCTAAGAAAGAAAGTTTATAAACTATTAAATTTGCATAAAACTTAAAGTAAGTAATATCAATAGTTTTCAGTTAAGATGAGTATTCCATTTTGAGCTGTGCAAGCTTGTTCAGGTAGCTGCTGTACAGTAGGAATTTAATACAGAACCTCACTTTTTGTTCATTGGGGGCGCTATTTCAATGGAATTGTGATTGTTATGAAAAGAATAATAACACTTGTTTTTGCTAATAGTCATGTTTTCTTTTGGAAATCACTTAAAATATAATAAAATAAAATGAATACTTCACATTCCGCAGATAATTTTGACTTTGTATTTGAACTCTGAAAATTTTCTCAATTACAAACTCTGTTCAGCTGGAGGGGTATGTATTTGGGAGGTGTTAGTGTTACTGTACTGACATTGTCTTTAATGCAATCTTTTCAGCCGTATTCATGATGTCTTTGGGTTAGCGAATACTTTATACTGAAATTCATGGTCCCCCAACACATTTTCATTATGTTGAATGTTCATGCATACAGTAATTTGAAACATGTTACATTGAACATTATTTTGCCAAAAATATTATTTTCTATTTTTGAACAGTTCAAGATGAGTGGCGCATTATTGATGTTTTTAAGACTCACTATCTTACTGTAGTGACAATATCTTACATAAGATAGTCCTACAGTACATACTCAATGACTAAACCTCTTAAGCAGTGAAGTGGGTTTTGACTACTGTATGAAGAAAAAAACCCTCTTGACAGGACTTAACCCAACCCAAGAATTGGATTGTAGGCATTGTATCATTCTACAGCTCTGCTCCATGCAAACACTGAAACTCCTCAGAAAAAAATACTTTTTTGGCTGGATTGTCCAAAGTAAAAAGTGACTTTTTTAGGGAACCTCAAAAAGTCAAATAACAAACACTATACTGAATTACATCAAATTTCAACTATATTTATAGAAATATCTTCGAAAAATCTACTCAAAGTGAAAGTCTGATAAAACAACTTAGATCCTAACAGCAGCTCATTCCTTATTTTAATGATTACTTAGTCCTCAGAAAGAGTCTTGGAAAGTAGTTGCAAATTTTAGCTTCTTGGTGTATGTGGGAAATTGTGAAACACACATGATCAACTTAAATATGATATTTGTAAGTGCTTGTGATGATCAATCACTCATCAATCAATCAATCAATCAGTCAGTCAGTCAGTCAGTCAGTCAGTCAGTCAGTCAGTCAGTCAGTCAGTCAGTCAGTCAGTCAATTTTATTGGATTAATGCTTTTGTATCAGCTGCACACATCACATACTGTATATTGTATAGATGCGTTTTCAGACGGCCTTTGTATATGAAGTGATTTGTATTATTCAAACATGAAGTTAATGTTGAATAAACTATGTGTTACATGGTGTTATTGTACCGTAGTAATTATTTTTCAAACAACATACTTCTGCTTATTAATGCAAGATGCAAGTTATGCTGCTTAGGCTATTGCTAAATAGGTTAATATACTAGTAATGGTAGAAAAAAAAATACATTTAATACAAAATTTAATCGGTATAGAAAAATTGGTATGTAAAGCTTGAAATATAAAATTAAAGAAATATTGCAAACTAAATCAGTTGTTGCTGATTTTTTAATTATTTTTTTAAATTATTAAATTATATCTTAGTGAAAAACAAAATTAAAACTCATTTTCAAACATCGAGATCTCATTACACTACATAGTGATCTGGTTTTGCAATGAGCTGTATTTTGAAATGAAAACAGAAATCAGGATTCATACCAAACAATAACATGTAATGATATCCAAATTATATTTTCTGTAGATTGCAGATACTGTACAGGTTGTATTACTAGTTGGCCTATACTGGTAATGCACTGTTATTTAGCTGCTGGCAGGCTGGGGTGGGTTTGACCAATTACAGTAAATACCTTAAGCCTGTCTCACAGCTGTAGTATTTTTTGGGTGGTTTGCACTAATTAACATGCTTAGTAGTATAAAATTAGCTCTCCCTTTCACAGTAATATTGACTTTAATTCCGCATATGCATTAGCTTAATATGCTGTAATTGCCTGTAGATTTTGGTTCTTTTATTATCTGAAGTTCACTGTGTGAGAGAGTTGCTTTGGGTTTTTTTTTATTTTGAATTATTCTGTTCTTTTCATAGGATCTTCTCCTATCTGGATTTCGTCAGTTTATGCAGGTGTGCCCAGGTGTCAAAGGTAAACACCATTTCTATTCCATGTTTTATGTGAAATATAAAAGAATTTCAGGAGAACAATGACAGCAAGGATATTATAATTGTGCTTATAATAATACTGAAAATAATTATGATTAAGACGATAATGATAATATGAAGATAATTTTGATGATGCTGTTATTATTCTTTAGTTTAGTTTCACCGGTGTAATTGTGTAATGATGATATAGACAATGATAATATGGTGGTGGTGGTGATGATAACATTGATGATGATATGATAACGGTGACGATAACGATGGTGATGTTGATAATATAAGTGCTGGTGGTAAAATGACAATAAGGATCTGTTGAGGTTATTGATGGGAAATACAGTGGTGATAGTAAATATAATTTGTGATAATGTTAAAGAACAAATGATAATGAGATTGTGAAAAGGTATTAAGGTGATGGGAGACGGGCAGACTCATCCCACATCACGCGCAGCGAAGATTGTATCTTTTCATGTGTCAATTTTCCCTAGGCCACAGTATCTATAATAATTTTTTTTTTAAAGCCTGTGGTATATATATCCTTGTAGGTTATATGGTTTCCGTCCTAACATACTTTATTTCGTATATCCCCCATAATTTTGTTATTTCGTCCGTCTACCTGTACACGTATATCATCTGTGTAGGCCTACCTACGCTCGCTGAGCGTGAATCAGCTAATTCATTTTGCATTTGTTGCTAGGTTACGTACTTCGTTGTTAGTATTGCTAGGCCTAGGCTCGCTGTAGTTATGGCGCCGGGTAAAAATTCTAAGAAATCCTCATCTCCTCCCCCTGACCTTAATCAGGGTAGTAGTAATGCACAACCAGCTGGTGCTGGTAATAATAGTTACCTATCGCCGTTAAAAGTTGAAATGTGTATAACCACCATTCTTTGTTGGGAATGGAACTGAGGCTTTCAGTGTTTGGTGCCGTAGACTTGAGGTGGCTTTGGATGCATTGCCAATGGCTACTCCCATTGATATGGTTAAACTATTGCCATCTAGACTTTCTGGTGCAGCTTTTAACTACTGGGATAATTTGGCCCCTGCTATTAAAAATAACTATCCGGAGGCAAAGGCTTGCTTGACCAAGGTATTTCGTGCAGACACATATAAATTAAGTGCTTTCAAAAGCATCATGAATTTCAGATTCCTGGAATAACTGCGAATGTATGACTATATGTCAGCACCACTTACACATGTAGTGTATTACATGAATTTACAGTTACAGTTACAAAAAAACAAAAAAAAACAAAAACAAAAACAAAAACAAAAACAAAAACAAAAACAAAAAAACAGAAAAAAAACAGAACGAACAAACACAGAACAGAAACAGAGGGACAACCAGAAACAACAGTACCACAACAAAGCGACAGCATGCGCAGGGGAGCGTACCGGTCGCGCGCGTAATTTTTTTACGCATGTGGTTATAGAAGTTAGGATTTGTTTTTTCCAGGTTTTAGTGTTAGTGGCATGAGGGTCTTTTCTCCTTGTTCATGGGGAATTGAAACCGTCCATGTGCGCGCGTAATTTTTTACGCAGATGTTATAACAGTTAGGATTTTGTTTTTCTTTTGGTTCTAGTTTAGCTGGTGTTTGGGCCATTCCTTGCTTGCGCAGCTTGCGAAATTGTTGAATTGATTCTGATAAACTTAATAATTTTCACCGTTTCTGATACTACTACAAGTTCCATGGATTATTGTTTGCAGATATTTTTTTTTATTTATTTGGAGGGGATTATTGTTTTCTTATTTTTCTTCTTCATATATGGTACCATACGCAATTCGTATGCTACATTGTATTTATAATGTATGATTTATTTGAGTGTGTACCATGCGCCATTCGCATGCTAAAGGATTGAATCTGTTGTACCATACGCTATTCGTATGTTGGTAGATTGAATGTTTTATTTTTGACAGTGTTTATAATACAGATATTTTTTTTTGCACCATACGCTATCCGTATGCTGCTGCTTTGCTGATCTCTTATACACATCTAGATGTGTATATTTTTACACCGTACGCTATTCGTATGCTGCTGTGTTGCTTTATTTTTGGAATTTTTTTTATATACAGTATGTAACATATGCAATTCATATGCTACATGTTTTTCTTTTATTTGGGACACTATTTTTTTTTGGCTTCTCTTCACCGTACGCAACACTTCGTATGCTGGAAGATGTCACCTGTCACCAAGAATCTCATCAATGGAGTCATCAATTGCTCAGGGAATATCTTCAGATGTCAACCAATGGAACAACCAGCTAAATAAATACAATACATATTTAATTTCATAAATGCTATAAATGCTGTTAATTCCATAAGAAGATTGCTTATACTATAATGCTTAGTTAGGCTTATGAATTATTAATATTTTTTTGCATGCATAATAGAAGTGGGACACTTCTTAGGGAGAGGGGGAGTAGTGTAACCTTTGAACTTTCAAGGACTCTATTATGGGATGTTCCCGCGGAGTCTCGCTCTCTCGTGGGGGTTCGTCTTATACACATCTAGATGTGTATAAGAGACAGAATATGTATAAATGTAACCTTTGAACTTTCAATGACTCTATTATGGGATGTTCCCGCGGAGTCTCGCTCTCTCGTGGGGGGTTCGTCGACTAGCCAAGCTGCGTCTTGTTGGAGGCTCACACTTTGTATAGAATAAAACCGTTAACATCCAGCTTACTTGGTGTCTGGCTCATTCATTGAAGTCCGAACTCATCTAGTAACATCCATAGAGAGTTACAATTGTACCATAGTAATTATTTTTGAAATAACATATTTCTGCTTATTAATGCAAGATGCAAGTTATGCTGCTTAGGCTATTGCTAAATAGGTTAATATACTAGTATAAAGGTAGAAAAGAAAAAAAACATTTAATACGAAATTTAATCTGTATAGAAAAATTGGCATGTAAAGCTTGAAATATAAAATTAAAGAAATATTGCAAACTAAATCAGTTGTTGCTGATTTTTTAATTATTTTTTTAAAAATATTAAATTATATCTTGGTGAAAAACAAAATTAAAACTCATTTTCAAACATCGAGATCTCATTATACTACATGGTGATCTGGTTTTGCAATGAGCTGTATTTTGAAACGAAAACAGAAATCAGGATTCATACCAAACAATAACATGTAATGATATCCAAATTATATTTTCTGTAGATTGCAGATACTGTACAGGTTGTATTACTAGTTGGCCTATACTGGTAATGCACTGTTATGAAAGCAGTTGCTGGCAGGCTGGGGTGGGTTTGACCAATTACAGTAAATACCGTAAGCCTGTCTCACAGCTGTAGTATTTTTTGGGTGGTTTGCACTAATTAACATGCTTAGTAGTATAAAATTAGCTCTCCCTTTCACAGTAATATTGACTTTAATTCCGCATATTCATTAGCTTAATATGCTATAATTGCCTGTAGATGTTGGTTCTTAACTGAAGTTCACTGTGTGAGAGAGTTGCTTTGGTTTTTTTTATTTTGAATTATTCTGTTCTTTTCATAGGATCTTCTCCTATCTGGATTTCGTCAGTTTATGCAGGTGTGCCCAGGTGTCAAAGGTAAACACCATTTCTATTCCATGTTTTATGTGAAATATAAAAGAATTTCAGGAGAACAATGACAGCAAGGATATTATAATTGTGCTTATAATAATACTGAAAATAATTATGATTAAGACGATAATGATAATATGAAGATAATTTTGATGATGCTGTTATTATTCTTTAGTTTAGTTTCACCGGTGTAATTGTGTAATGATGATATAGACAATGATAATATGGTGGTGGTGGTGATGATAACATTGATGATGATATGATAACGGTGACGATAACGATACTGATGTTGATAATATAAATGCTGGTGGTAAAATGACAATAAGGATCTGTTGAGGTTATTGATGGGAAATACAGTGGTGATAGTAAATATAATTTGTGATAATGTTAAAGAACAAATGATAATGAGATTGTGAAAAGGTATTAAGGTGATGGGAGACGGGTACTGATAAAGATGATGAGAATTACAGTGGCAGCAACAACTGTTTTTGTACTAGATAAATGAAATTCAATATAATAATTAAAATTTGTTTTCTTTAATATTAATAATAAAGATAAGTATTAATAATGATAATATTATTTATTAAAATAAATAAAATTGATAATATATTAAATGCTAATTCTAATCTACAGTATATAGAAGCTCAGCAGAGTAAAAGTTGAAAAAATGAATGAAATATATGCATGCTAATGCTTTTCGATGATGGGAATGGAAAATGTTCTACACATAATATTAATAATTCAATATTCTGAGACCACCTAGTATTTCCATGTCTTATCCAACAGCTCATGATAAAACTGCACGTTTTACTGCAAACCTTTGAAAATAATATGAATACTGTCTGTCTGTCTGTGTTCGAATTATAAATAGTGAAATATGTAGTATCTGTCAGTGATAAAATTCAATAGATGAATTGCTAAGCTTTGTATATTTAACATAATATTAATAGTGAAATATTGTTAGTTTTAATTAAATATACATTGCTACCTATATGTAATGGAAACTTGAAATATAAAAAAACATGATTTGCTAAATTTCTGCTGTACCTACTGAATAGTTTTCATCTGAAAATTAGAATGAAGTCAGTTTGTCTTTGCTAGGATCTGGAGGAAAACATGGGATATTGTGTAAATCTAATAGTAAAAACACTTTGAATATTTAAAGACTGGATGGAAGAAGATGAAAAATATTTGTATATCATTAAATTTCTGGCTGTAAATTTATTTGAGAGGTTTTGTAACAAATCATCTGTAAATTATGAGAATTATGATTTATTTCTAGGTTGGTTAAATATGTGGCTCTTGTTTAATATTGAGCAATTTAAAGTTTTATTTAAACGTTTGTGGTTTTTTTTTCCCAAATTTTTTTGCTCTATATTTAATAGGAAATTCTTTTAAAATAACAATGTTTTGATTGGATCGTAACTCACCTTGTGAATGACCCCATGCTGGAGTCAAAAATGCATCATATTATTAATAAATAATTATAGGTTTTCAGTACACCATGGCATATGCTACAAATCTCAATTGAAGACCGTTTTTTCGGTTTTTCCATGAAGACTAGAGTACAGTACATTAACCAAAACATTAAGACATTACAATACAAACGGTTCTTCTCAGAACCAAAATGCCATCGATTGAAATTTGTGCCATATAGTATGCCACACATGGTGTACCGAAAACCTACAATTACTGTATTTATTAATGTCAATTCACCATGCAAACCTTCAAGGCTTAGTATTCTATTATATAAAGTGTTATTTTTGTATTAATTATAATATAAAAACATATCCTTGGCTTATGTATAACAAATTATAAATTATTTTTTAAACATTTTGGCAAGACCTTCTTTATTATGGTTTGCCAGAGTAGTACGAAAAAATTGTTTTCCGGATAGTAAATAAGACCAATGCATAGATTTTTAAAATTGTTTTCTTAGTCAGTAATAAGGCCAAAGTTCATTTTGATGTTAAAGTGCATGTCAACGAATGTGTCTAAGGAACCATGCAATATACTAACTATTACTACTAGTACAACTTAAAAATTTTGTTTATTGTTCTTCATTTAACATCACCATTTTTGATCAAATAACATTTAAGTTCCCCATGTAGCAGTTATTTTTAGAGATTCTGAGAACATAAATTAATTATTATATTTACTTTGATGCGATCTAATTTAGTTTGTTCTTATTAAGCCATAAATTTTTCACCGTAGCTGTGCAGATGAGAGGTGAAAAAAAAACTATAAGAAAAAACTCTCATTACCATAATTACAAGCAAATTTAAAGGTCTGCATAAATGTGCAATAGAAATGGTTTGATTTATATGTCGTTAGGTTGAGAAAATATTTTATTATTTTATTTTTCAAAATATACGTCTATTAACATTTTCAGAGAGCTTCAGAATAATCATAAGATATAGTATCATTTCTTATACTGTACGAGTACTGTACCTAGCCTTTATAGTGTTTACAGTACATCAATTAAATTATTAAGAACTCAATAAACAACATGTATAAAACTTAATGATGTCAAGTTTAGTATTCAACACTATGATTATAAATATAAAACCACATGAATATTTCTCTAAATATAATATTTTATAGATTTCAAAATTTAGTATTGGTTTTCAAAAGGTTTGCCCTTTTCTACAGTAGTAACGTGTCGTGCTTGTTACATTACATAATGCCAAGAGTTCTTTTCACTTCATATACCTAATCATAGGATCAAACATTTATAGAACACATACTTAGTTCTCCAGAGAAGTATTTTATAATGTAATCAGTGTGTATTGGCATTTAAACATAAGGTACCCACATGTAGCACTGAGTAGAGAAAGACAATGGGATAAAGGCCTTACTGTACCTACAGTCTTTTTAGAGGTTTGCTCTAACAGCAAAGCTGACTTGAAGAGACCACCACCAACTGTCCAGCCTCAGAACAACACCCTCAGTCTTTTAAATAAAAAGCTCACAGCCCAGCACCTGCACCAAATGTTCCTTTGGTTTAATAAGGAGGTGCTGCAGAGGCCTTGGTACAGTACTGTTTTTTTTTTATTGTTGAAATGAGTAAGTGGCCCTCAATGATAGTGGATGACGTTGGATGACAATCATGATTCAAGATTGAATTTATTGTCATCAATATCATGAAATTTGTATTCTTAAACTTACATAATAATACACATCACTGTCAAATTAATTATAAATACTACACAAAATATAATAGTACCAAAAAAACTTAACTAATCAATGGAAAAACAATTAGTCGTAAAAACAACAACCTTGCCTAAAAATAGTGTGATTATCTGGAGAACTGATTATTATAGTTGGCGTGTGTATGGTAGAAATGATAATGATTAGATGTTAATGATAATGTTCCATCCTGGGGAATAAATAAATAAAAATAGTTTGTTGAATTCATTTCTCATGTGTTTTTTTTGCATGGTAGGCTGAGATACTAGGTTTGCACAATACACAGTTTTTTTTCAATGTAGCAGAGTAATTAAACCAACCCGCTTCATATACTGTATTGTATTAAACATACAAAGATATTTAATCCCCTACCTTGTTCTAAATGTGTCTACAAATTGTAATATTGCTGATAATGGCACTTACAATGCAAAATTATACTGCTTGTAATGCCCTGTCCAGTATATGTGACATGCCTAAATATGGTCATGATAAAATCACATCATGACCATATAAGGCATTTTGTAGCGAAGTGGTTAAGTTGTCGCACAGACCAGTATTGAGTAAATGAGCTATAAAATATGGGAGCTCAAAAAATTGCCTAAAAATCAAAATTTGTTTTTCACTATAGATCAACAGTTTAATGTCTTATTAATCATGTACAGTACCACAGTATTAGTTCTGGAAGTGGTCAACAAATTGTTTATAAATACAATGTTAATTTGATAGTTCATTCTACTCAAAATCTTGCTTGATTCTAAGTGTACTGTACTTTCACTTTCCAATAACTTGTGCTTGAAATGTGCAATTTCAATGAATGACTCCTCATTTTAATGATCACTCTATCAAAATATGATAGAGTAGGCAAATCTTCAGGCCTTACTTTGAATTCTACATGAATATTGTTACTTTTTTTTAGATACAATGTAATTTTTTCTGTTGTTTATTCAGTATTGGAATGTACTGGCTCTTGATGGCAGCAATTGGCAAAAGGTGGATCTTTTTAACTTCCAAACAGATATTGAGGTAAGATTGAAAGAGACACTTATAATGATTGACAACCTGTTGTAATGATGAATATGTCACAAGAACATTGATAGATTGTCAAAACGATGACATTATTAAAATTTTTCATTAATTGAAATTAAGTTTGTAGTGTATGCCATCTTGGATTTTGGTTTATGAATTGATGGTAAATAAAAAGATTTTAAATATTGTCATAAATAAAATGTAATATTGTATATATAATATTGATAGATGATCCAAATGTTTAAAGACAACTGATTCAAGAAACAGAGATGGATAGCTTTGACCTCAGACTTCATCATCATAACTATAATTCTGATTTGTGTTGTCCTTATGATACATGATGTATTGTATGATACATAAAATAATCTGTATGTAAAAGATGGCTACTGGATTTTTGGGTTATCCATGCTAAATAAGTGAATGTTTATTAATGCTAGTAGAAAGAATTTATAGAAGTCATTACTATAAAATTGCTGATAGCATAATAGTTTTATAGGCCATTGGAATGATGGATAAACTATCAACATGATGTCTGTATGGTTAGAATATCAGCTATACCATCAGAAATATGGATAGACCAAGACAGTTTGAGTGTACCTAGACTGTCAAAATGATGGACCATCAGATGATTTACACTGTTATAAAAACATACTATATAAAGTACCTTAATAATAGATATCAGAATAATGGATACCATCAGGATGACAGCTGCACCATTAGAACTGTATACCAGAGAACTACAGCATGGATACATCATCAAAATAAAGGATACACTATCAAAATGATGGGTGCATCGTTACAATGACAGACGCACCATCAAAACATGATTAGCTGTACCATCAGAATTAGATTCACCATCTGAACATTATTTGATGTACCATCAGAACATTAGATGCACCATCAGAACATTTGATGCACCATCTCAACATTATTAAATGTACCATCAGAACATTAGATGCACCATCAGAACATTATTAGATGCACCATCAGAACACATTAGATGCACCATCTGAACATATTAGATGCACCATCTGAACATTATTAGATGTACCAACTATTTATTCAGAATACTGTAGATGGATATATTGCAGTAGATGCACCATCAGATCGTTGGATACACATGAAGAATGATGGATTTCAGAATAGAAAGATGCATTATCAATGCACGCACTTGGAAGACTATGGATGCTCCGTCAAGAAGACAGTTATGCTGTCTGAAAATCAGCACATGTTCATCTTGCCGTGCATTGCTCCTCACTTGAGTCAGATATACGTCCTGTCTGATTAACATCAAGATAAACATTTTTACATTTTCCATACCTTTTACATCAAACAGCTTAGTTGCTATGGCTACTGTATAAGACACAAATCATTGTAGTTGAATTCACTTATCACCGGAATTACTGTGAGACTATTGTGCACTGGTAATGCTTTGTGTTACATCCATTTACTCATTTTGGAAATGAGTATACAGTAGTTAAAATGAATAATTTAATAAGAATAAAAATAATGTGAATGATTTTATTCAATCTATTATTGTTAAGCAAATACATTAATTTGGATTTCTTATACATTTACTTTATTTACACATATTGTACACTGCATGATGAGTAACTAACCCATTTAATAAGTCCCGTATATGAATGAATTCCCACCTAAAGGTAAACTATTTTTTAAACACACTGTTCAAATGAGCTCATGACAAATTAAGAGATTTTCTACCACGTTAATAGTAACTCAAGTTGACTAATGATGCATATTGATGTGGGAAAACATAAATTTTGTGAATAATCTGCATTACCTGGACAAACCAACTTAATGTCATTTTTTATCTCACAGGAGAGAGCAACTTTCTAAATAGTCCAGCAAATATTTTGTTATACTTATTTGCATTTACTGTATAGGTTAAGATATGTATTGGTATATTGTTAAGAATATTTATCGTGTCCACTGTGTGGTAGTGGTAGAATTGTCATTAACCAGGGCCGCGGCGAGGGTGCTTCTACCATGACCCCATTTCCTCTGATGTGTTGCATTAATTTGTTTAAATTGGTCTTTGTTGCCAAATGTACCATATTATAAAATAGTTTCCCATCCTAGAACTATAATTTGCATTCAAATTCATGACATATCTCTCTCTTTGTTTCTCCCCAGGGCCCAGTAGTTGAGAACCTTTCAAAAAGATGCGGAGGATTCCTTAAGCAGCTGAGTCTACGAGGATGTCAGAGCATCACCAATGATGCCATGAGGTAAGGCTAAAATGATGAGGCTATATATATTGATGCCAGTGAATGGTCAGGGATAGCATGGACCCCATTGTCTCTTGTGGCCCTTAGTTCTAATCACCTGTCAACAATTTTTTTGGTTCCACCACTGATTATAGAGAGGGAAAATATGGGTTTGATTACATCGGATGAGGATACAATGATATGGCTACATTGATGGGACCACAGTGAAGTAGATATATGGATGAGGCAGCTGTACATAGAGCACAGATGGCAAAATGTGGCGCGTGGGCCGCATGCGGCCTAATTGCATTGTTCAAGCTTCCCATGAATAAAAAGTTAAAACACTATGTGTGGCCCCCAACCACCTTGAACTAGGAAACCCCCTTGGTTTTACGGCCCGACACTGAATAATAAACTAAGCATTAAAACTCAGTCTACATTAGCGAAACTGGCAGATCATTCAAAATCAGATTAACAGAACATAAGAAAGATGTTACAGAGAACACAAAAGGGGTCATCACTAGAGCTGCTCGGGCTTCCCTATTCACCTTAGATATACAACACAAATCAGCAGTCCAAGATTATGAGATCAAACTCAACCATATCCCTGACTGGTAAGGTGTCCAAGTCATTAAAACTGAATGCCACAGAAAAAAAGACAAATACTAGAGGCTATTTCAGGGGTCCAAGTGTCCCGGAACTCGCTGAGTCTCCCGGAAATCGGCATGGTCTCCCGCACTCCTGTGAGCAAGCAAAAATCTCCCACATATGCATACATCTCCAGCAAATTTAATATAAAGGAAGCTAATAGTTTTTTCACTGCCACACAACAAGAAACCAATCTTTTCATCAGAAAACTGATTCGCAAAGTAGTTTTTACAGTCTAACAATTGCCATTTTTGGGGCTTCTATGGGTGCCTATTCTTAAAAATGTGCTCATCTTATCCCCATCCATTCTGAGCTGAGGTGTACATGGCCCTTCCCCCCTTTGTCATTAACCAGATCTCCAGTAAATGACTTTTGGGACTTGGGACTTCCGCTATTTGGATAAGAAAACATGATAACAACAAGAACAGAGAAGAAGGTGCATATAAACTATCTAATATTTACAACCAACTAATCAGTCCTGAAATTACTGGCAGAGGGCGGCCTACTACATCAAGAAACATGAACAACTAGCAAACCAGTCATTGTCCGATGGAAATCCGCTGTTGATGATGGATCGAAACGTCACAAACAGTACATATATTTTAATGGTTTACTTACAAGAATTTTGTTCACGTTCATACAGAAACCAGATGAAACTATTTGAGATAATAAGCGTAAAAAGTTAAAAATGTGGGTATGAAAATTTCTACAATGGAAACATTAACTTTTCACCTTAAAAGTCTGAATTTGTGTGTTAAATAAATTCACTTCGGCTCTCATCCAGTTTTATGCTCACCTCTAGCGTAGACATACATACCAAGTGTCACACATTCGACGTGAGACTCGTGCATTTGAGGTTAGTTTCACGCTCTCACGCTTAAGGACCAAAATCTCATGCATAAATGTAATGCCTATATTATAAAATATATGTACTGTTTGTGACCTTTGTAACATTATGTATACTTACCAGCTAACTGCACCAACACTGTAGGTACTGTATGTCGTTTTTTAAAGTGCTGTCGGATAAAATCAAATGATTTGTAGAGTGTGAATCAAATTTGTGTGGAGATGACCTGAAATGGTATTCTCAATTTAAAGGGAAAAATGCAGATCCGGAATGCATTTTTGAGCATTTATTAAATAAAAAAAGTCTCACACCTGCAAATTTGTCTAACTTGGAATGTCTGACATAGAGGATAATGATGCTTTGCATTAAAGAAGTTCATAAATAAATTTTGAAAGGGGTGCATTTTTAATATCAGATGACCTTTTATTTATAATTAAATCGAGTGTTGAACAGTATCTGTTTTTTTATTAGGAGTTTCTTTCATCAAATTGGACTTTCAATTATCTCTTCAGTTTCTGTCTGCCGGAATGTTTGCCTTGAACACATTGAAGCTTGTTGCAGACTATTATCACTATTGAAAGTTCCTCATTAGCATAGCATATCAATTACGCATAATTACTGTACTGCCTTTCAGAGGACTATTATATTGTCTGACTGCTTTTAGATAGAAAGAGAAAATACTTATCTAGCTCATAAAATTCACTCTGCAACATTTATAGAGTGTATTTTGAATTTCATGCACTTGATATGTGAGCAGTACTGATGGATAGCCTGCTTAAAGGCAGGATTTATACTTGATTAATTTAAGCTACTCGCTGTCATTATTTGATAAAATTGTACTACTACTGTATACACATATTGTACAAGGTCTGTTTTTCATTAATATTATATATTATGAATATTCATTATTCATGTACCTAACATTTTGTGCATATTAATTATATCATTTTAGTTTGTACTCTATATCATGAATTTGTACATTGATGATTGTTTATATAGCAAGTTATTGATTTTAAGCTCCTCATTGTATGTACATTTGATTACAGAATATTAATGATTATAATAGTAAATAAAATTATACTGTATCAATTATTTTATTTTCCATATTATTATTTTTGTTAATTATTATATCATTCTATATTCTTTATATATTCTTATCTCATTTTCATTTGTATTGTTACTACATTCATTATTTTTATAATTCCTAATGTTTCTGCTGTTGATGTATTCTTTAAAGCTATACATAACAACCTTCTTATGAGCAAGCATTCTCAGTGCAAAGCTTGAATGAAAATTTGCACGTGTATCGATTTCCGCATCATTAAATGATACACCATCATTATAAACAGATGAATTTTTCATTGTATTCTCTTTCAGAATATTTGCACATAATTGTCCGAATATAGAAGAATTGAATTTGGAGAATTGCAAGAAAATTGGTGATCCGACATGCTCTAGTCTAAGTAAATACAGCAAGAAGCTGCGGTACCTATCGCTTGAGTCATGCACGTCCATCACAGATATGGGATTAAAGTCATTAAGGTATGTAATGTGACCTTTCAAAACACAAAATGAAGATATGTTGCATCCCGTTGATTTGAGATAATGACCAAATTTGGTGAAAATATATTTATTTTCTAGATCTATATCTAGAAGATAAATAATGTCATGGTTAGGCGGTAAGGCAGGGGCGCCACTAACTACAGTCTTAACATCAGCAGTGGTTCGAGCCGCTACTCGCCAAGGGTTCTCGTATAAGGACTTAAAATGGAGATCCAGTGTACACATCTGCCTCATGTGTACTTTAAAGAACCCATTGCATCTTTTGGAAGAGTAGGGGTTTACCCTGATTCTATGGTTCAATTCAGTCCCTGTTGGTGTTGAATGATGCAGCAGCTAGGTGGTCAAGACCACGCACGCCCATATGCAATTCGGCACAATGACGCTGCGAGTTATGGGTTATTCTTCTCTCTTTATCCTTTAATAATAATAATAATTCTTTAATGGTCCTCATTCTAAAAGGAAATCAGAAATTTGGGCTGGGGACCCGTGGCAGCTGCAGTTCAGCGCCCCCAACTTAACTATATGGACACATGGATACATTGTCCCTAACCTGCCTAAATCTCAATATGAAAAAAATGCACCTTGAGCAGTTTTTTTGGTTATATGCACTATATAAATCCAATAAAATAATCTTAAATATACTCCAGTCCCTAAAGCTCAAAATGATAGTTTTGTTTAGTTTATCTGCAGTGTGTATTATATGTTGTGAAAGGGATTTCCTGAAAAAAATTAAAATCTTTCCTGAATCATGGGAAGAGAACATTCCGATACCGAGCATCAACAGGTCCCCAGCCCAACTGGAATGACCTTCCAGTTGATGTTCGTAAACATTTCCAAACTATTAATTAAGCTGATTTTTAAACCTTTTAATTTCTTTGGTGCATTGTATTTTTATTGTTTTTACCTCTTTTTTCCTTAATCTGTTATTTTGTTTTTTGACTTAATCTGGACCTCTTGGGAGACCTGTACATCAATTGTATTGAAATGAGCTTTCCAGAATAAAGAAAGATTTGTATTGTATTGTAATCACTTTATATTTTATTGAACTCATCTTGTGTTCTAATGCAAACATTTTTGAATTATTGTTATTTTGCCATGCATACTTTTGAAGAGTTGTTAGATTTAATGAATAACATTAACGATGTAATGTTCCTTTTATCGAATGAAATATAATATTGTTAGTCAAAGGCTTCCTGTTCTTTACATGGATTATGATAGCTCAGGGCATGCTTCGCTCTTCCTCTGAAAATACACCAGAGGCTACTTCCTTCTAAGAAAGGTGATTTAAAATAATGATATCAACATTCAATATGTACGTTAATTTAAGGTTTCCTTGTACGTATACTCAAGGGAAATTCTCTTATTAGGCTGTTAATTTCGAACATTAGGCAGAATGTAACTGAAACACCTATAAATTTTATTTACATTTTTACATTTGCTTTTTGTTTGATTGAATGTAAAACACTTCTCTAATTTGATGACCCTCCCTAGCGATATACTAAATTGACTATGGTATAATCAGGGAAATATCTATTAAAGTTGAATTTAGACAATGGTCGAAAAAAGGCTGGGTACGCCCCTTCCCCTCTCCCCAGTTTTAAATATTCCAAAAATCTGTATCTCATTAACCGTTGCAGAGTTTTTCATCAAATGTGCATTTTGTTTCTTTAGTAGAGCGGCTAAGGAGAAAAATCGTGCACTTCTGGAAGAAAGCATGAAACTTCCTACAGTGATACTATGACACTTAAGGATCATTAAAAAAAATAGACCACAAAAAATATGCCGCTTAGTGGTCGCCATTTTGAAATTCAAAATGGCCACCAAAATATTGGATTTTTATCAATAATCTTCATATCTACAGCACCTAGCACTGTAATCTAAAGGTCTTTACCTATGTTTTCAATATCAGGGAGTATTATGCAGTGATCATAAATTATATCAGATGGCCACCATATTTGATTTCAAGATGACTGCCAAAATATTGTTATTTATATCAACTATAATGTAACATAGTCAATCACACCTTTAACCATGTTTTTAATATCATAGAGTATCATATATATATATATACACAGTATATATATATATATATATATACAGTATATAAATATATATATATAT